CACTGCTTAACCAATACATACTTCACTTAGAATGGAACTTTCTACAAACAAACTGAGGGTACCCCAATGGGCTCCCCCCCTATCTCCGGTTGTAGCCAACATTTTCATGGAGAAATTTGAAACTGACGCCATACAGACTGCCACTCTACGCCAAACCTTATGGAAGAGGTACCTGGATGACACTTGTCATCTGGCCACATGGCCGGCCTGCTCTAGACCAATTCTTTGACCACATCAATTCCATACACCCAGCCATCAGATTTACCATGGAAGTCGAAAAAGATGGCAAGCTACCATTTTTGGATGTCCTAATAAAAAAGAGACCTGATGGTTCAATGAGCCACTCTGTTTACAGGAAAGCTACCCATATGGATGCTTACCTGAAACCGGATTCCCACCACCATCCATCCCAGAAGAATTCCCTCATCAAGACTCTGCACCATTGAGCCCAATGCATATCCGACCAGGAACACATAGCCAGTGAACTCAAGCACGTACACCAAGCTCTTAAGGCTAATGGTTTTTCCGACTACACAATCCACAAAGCTATCACTCCAACCATGAAGAAGGACCCTCTTGAGGATCCTTTCAAAACCATCACTATACCCTACTTTATGGGGATCACAAAAAATATCTCCAAAATCTTGATTAAACACAAGATCCAGGTCCGATTCAACACATTACATAAAATCCGTGATCTGATTCCGTCTGTAAAAGATGTGATTCCGGACATACAGTACCCTGGCGTCTACAAACTAAGTTGCCTCTGTGGTAGTAGTTACATTGGAGAAACCAAACGACATGTCTCGGACTGCATTCGTGAACACAAAGCAGACCTGAAACACGGTAGCACCAACACCTCGGCCGTGGCAGATCACTGTTATAATTCAGTAGGTTCACATGACATTGACTTCTCCAAGACAGGTTCTTTGCAAGCCATCTGGCTACCATGAGAGATTCGTTCATGAGGCTATCCACATATACAAACACAGAGACAATTTCAACCGAGAAGATGGATTCTGGCTTAGCAATCATTGGAAGGATTTGATTAACCATTTCGGGTCTTAATTGATTGATCACGCTTAAGGTGGCTTTCAGACCGCATCCATTATTTTTCGTCTCCCCCCTCCTCTTTTCCGAACATAGATGGACTCGTCCATCTGAACAAACTGTCAAATCGCTATCCGTGCTGCTAACATTAAAAAAACGCCACTTTTTTCAAATGTTATTGTTGTGGTTTTCACACCTGATGATGATTGCTTGTGTTGCAGTCGAAACGTCGTGAGAATTTTATTGTTTTATATTTTTATTATTTTATTGTTTCCCTTCTACGTGACTTTTACCGAAAGAACCAAGAATATGAATCCATGCAGTCACTAAAGCTTTAAATCAAAATGTAACTGGGAATCTAATTAAGCAATTACATGTTCAATAATTACATGTTAAATAATTACATGTTCAAAGCACTACTTTATGTAGAAAACTTTTTTTTCACAAAGCCAGTCGAGGTCGAAAACGTCTCATAAATGGGCATCGTTGATTGGCTGAGGCATGCTCAGGCCACTTAATGAGCGCTCGGATTGGCCGAAACTGGCGCCCACGGGCACAACGTAAACATACCGTTAGTCAACATTTAATGTTAGTCAATACCATGTGGTCCTATGAGAGCAAAACATTAACCGATGTCACTGTTAACCGAGGGAATATTGTACATACATTAATGCATAGCACCTGGGCCTGTCCCATGACCTCCTGCCAGCTCAGAGCCTTCCACACTTCATTTTATATCCTCATGGTGCACGACCTTCCTGAAATATACTTTTGAGACTCGGGTGAGGCTTTTCTGCGTACAAACAAAAGTGATTTCCCGCCCAAATGATCAGTGGAGAGGCATCGTTGCTCACTTCCTCTTTACAGCTCCTGAGCCAGCGATGGAAAATCCCACGTTGCTATGGCGAGAGCGAGTTTTATTCCTCATGGGACAACCACTGTTCATCTTCTGTCCAAAATGGCACTGATTTTGTTTTGCCCTGGAGAAAAATGATAAGCTGAGCCAATCATCCTAACCAGGAGTCGAACTCACGGCCTTCCAATTGCGAGCCGTTTACTCTACCGCTGAGCCACAAGCATAATAATGCTTATCTCGCATGTGAGATGTGTTATGTTTGTTTTGCGTCGAGTGTAATTAGTTCACATTAACTCACCGACCCACATTCACCAACAACGGAAGTAAATTATTGATTCTTGAGTTGAATTGTGACCCTGAGTTATGGTTATTGAATCGCATGTGTGGGGGGTATTGAACATCACTGCTGGCTATTTACATGAGCAAAAGAGACCACTCGCGCTCAAAAGACTGCAACCTACACAAGCAGACAATATGCCTCCACATACATAATTGAAAGTAAGAATAGGTTTTACCCTTTCTGACAATAAAACAGGAGTTGTGTTTCGATGTTCAAACACCAAATATATACCTTTTTCAAGGCATCAAGTCTACATTAACCACATATTTGTGGCAAAACATGCAAACAAACGTGCTCTGAAAATATATACATTGTCTTTGAAACTGATTGTCCTACAACCAGAGACGGCCTTCTCTAAGGCTTAGTCTCACCAGTCTCAGACCAGAGAATGCCACTCACTAACTCATTCACCCACTGATCCACCTTCTCAAGCACTTACTCAAGTGATCATTAACCCACTCACCAACTCACTCACCCACCCACTCACAACACTTCCTTTTCTGTTTAATCCGCTCTCTGCTCAACTTTAGATTTCACGTCTGTCTTATCTGTCCTCAAGCCCTGATAGTAACCTTACTCAAGTAAAAAGAACGGGTTATACTCTAAGCTATTGCAACCTTGGTAAGTGCTGTTTTTTAGGCTGGCCACTTGAAGTTTTGGGCCTTATGGACCTGTTAAACCATGTGCGTGCGTGTGTTATTGTGTGCACAGCATGCGAGGTTAAGCTCAGATTATGCACTATTTAGAGAATTCCCAAGTGGCCACTAGATTATACATTGGCCACTGCGACTGTTGGATTTAGCTTTTATAGCGCGCAGCTCGCTGCGTTTACAATCAAGGTTGCTGAGCCCCAGGCCCAAAAGGCCCCAAACGCCAAGCCGCCAGCAACAAAACAGCACAGTTGTCATTGATAAGAGTGGGACGTGTTTCTTTGAATTGAGCAAGGTTTTTACGACTGTTATTTCATTGATTTATTATTTTTTTACAGGCAGTCCCTCGGTTAAGTGACATCGGTTAACATTTTTGCGGTTAACTTTTCAACCTCTGATAAGAACCCCATGGTTTCGACGAATGTTACAATGTTGATAAACGATATGTTTACGTTGTGCAGGAGGATGCCAATTTCGGCCAATCCGAGCGCTCTTAAATGGAGCTGAGCCATGCCCTCATCCATCAGCGATGCCCATTTATTAGCGTTTAGATCTCGACTGGCTTTGTCTACATTACGTTTTCTGTTTTGGCAGTGGAAACCGCTCCCTTACAGAATCAGTGATTTTTGCTTAATTTTCAACTTATAAGTAAATTCGATTCACAGTTATTTCAGTTAACAGTAGTTTTTATGGAATGGATTTAAAAGCATTAACCGAGGGACTACTGCATTGACTTATTTTATTAATGTATCGACTTGATTCATTATTTTATCAATAGTAGTACTAATCACGTATGTATGTTTGGAAATCATAGCCACATCTCCAATGCCATCGGGTATATAGATTGTCACATTATACTGGTAGGAACGAAGTTGTAAACTGAGTGTACCAGCCTGCAATAGATTAATGTGTCCGTCCGTCCCCTTTCAATACTTTAACGAAGTGAAATCTCGTGCTGTTGGGTGTAAAAAAAATTCCAATGTTCCTACCAGCCCACCCTGCAGGGACCTGTTATATAACAGTTAAAATCGTGGTTGCTTTGGATAGCATCGTCCTTGCCATAGGAATGTGGGATTTCTGTCACTAGCTCAGAGCTGTAAGCAGGACGTGAGCACCAGTGACTTCAGTTGCTCATTTTGAGTAGGAAGTGGCTCTTGTTTAGCCAGGGAAGCTTCAACCGAGTCTCAGGAGCATCTTTCAGGAGCGTCCAGCACTCTAAGGATATTGCGTGAGGTGCAGAAGGTTCTTGCTGGCTGGAAGAGGTCACAGGGCAGGCCCAGGTGCTATGAGTTAATGCGCTTTGGTGACTGGCTGGCAGAAACACCGCCTGCACTACCCCACTGTGCCACCTCGCTGGCGCTCTGCTTGCACACAACAGACACAATTTGCTTCTTTCCAATATCTGTCCCCTCCAATCAAAAAAAGATCGTTTTTCTACACATCCGAGCAGCCACATGGCCTTCTTGAGAGGGCATTATATCTGCAGCAATGGGGTAATACAACACACCTATGGACTGCTTTTAACATTCGGCATCTCTTCAGCAGAGTCAGCCTTGCTTGAGCCTATGCCGGTGAACGGCTAGATGTGTCTAGGCAATGGTCCTTTCTGTTTGGTACGAGTACAATTTTGTGTTTAGTTTATTGTCCTTACCCTGCACCTCCGATTAGCACGGTTGGCTGACCCTGTGAAAGAAGTTCAACGTACATACATACATGAATATTTAGACAGACACACATACATACAAATATATACAAATGACAAATATCCCAATGTATAGTCTTAATAGATAGTTGGGGCAAATGCTGTTAATGGGCACCTATGAAGGCTGGCACAGGACACGAGGGGCCAACTTTGTCTCCCTAGTGGCGATTATTTACACGGTACTGGGTACTCATTGAGGTTGAGTCGACCTAGGGGAGGCCCAGGACCGGTTCAGATAATTGTCACCAGTTGTGGCTGTGAGCGGGAATTTAACTCGGTTCGCTGGGTTCGTATCGCAGCTCGACGCTACCACTCCCCACAAACGCGCACATGCACACACATGGTAGGTACACACTTTGAGTTGTCTTTCACTGTTGTCCAATGATTGTGTTTTGCTCTCAGGTTTGAGACCGTGGGGGAACAGCCATCATGTCATCAGCGCCGTGCGTGACGGAGGACATCCTGGAGGAATTGCAGGTGGCTGCAGCCCAGAGTTTGGAACTGGTGGATGCTGCTGAACATTACGACATCATTAGAGAACTGGGCAAGGGAACGTATGGAAAGGTGGACCTAGCGGTGCACAAGGGCTCCGGTGAGTAACCTCGGAGCTCTGGTAACGAGCTAATGTGGTTTGTAAATTTGATTCTAAACAGTGGTATCTCACATTAACATCATTAGCCCTGGCCACTTCTTTATGACCCTTGGGCTACACCGATTTCAAACCTTTTAAAACAGTCTTTTAAAACAGTCTGCCTCAGCAGCAGACCATGCTTTCCCACTTGATGATGGACGCTTGTGTTATGCATGAAACGTCGTGATTTATTTTATTTTATACCTACATGACTTTACCGAAAGAACCAAAGAGTATGGTATTGAGAGTTTAATTGTAATGTACAATGTTATTGAGGGGACTGTGTGTTGCTGTCTTGCTGTGGTCTGGGACTATTCTTTCTGTTGTTTTACTGCCTTGTCCAAGCTTGGGAATTGATGATGGAATTTGAACTGATATACTTTATTTATTTAAGGGGTATCAGTGGTTGTGTGATGTTATCTTTCTTTCCTGGTATGCAGGAGGTCGGGGATTTGATTCTGACCCTGTATTATTTGGAGGTTTCGCGTCTCTCTCCATGCAGTTGCGCGGATGTTTTTTTTTCCAGGTCCTCTGTGCTTTTCCCTCCACATTTAGAAACATGCATTCAGATTATTTAGATTATTTTGCTGCAATAAATGCCCAACTGATAAGCCACTGTTGAGCTATCATTTGCGGCCAGGTCGCTTCTGAAAAATAATTTAATACCTTCAGTAGGCTTTGCCTAGTAGGATGGGAATGGCTTAGTTTTATTTGTATGCTTTGGGTGATTTTTTACCTTTCTTGTATTTTGCACTTCTATCATGTGATTGTATTGTTTGGTGTCATGTTCAGACCTGCCCCTACTGGACATCTGTGAAGAAGAGCTTTATAGCTTATCAGATTCCTCCAGTATAAATAAATATTCCGACCCTGATTTTCTTTAACCGATCTGTATATCTGTCCCTTAAAAATATATATATATATTTATCACATCAGCCATGTGACCTCCTGGGGGAATGGATAATTTCAGAGCAGCCATTGGTTTATTAAAACATGCTGACACCGTATCGATTTTCAACATTCAGCATCACATCGGCCGAGTCCGCATAGCTTGGACCAATAACTGGCATACTGTCAGATTTTTAGAAGTTGGGGGTCCTCGATGAGTGCCGTTAGATGCGAGGTCCTCATGCAATGCTCACCAACTCAATGCAGTAAAACACTTTTAAGCAGCTCCTTCACGTGTCTGTCCCACCTGGCTGATCTTGTCAAGAAGCATAAACCATCATCACGCAAACTTTGATCACCCTCACAGTGGCGGCTTTTGGCTCACTGTCAAACAGACGGTTACCGCATCGCGTGGTTTCCGAAGCGCTTCTGCGGCCGTCTGGAACACTCTTCCTTCCAATATTAGGAAGCCACTGGAGCTATGCACTTTAAATCATTTGGATTGAAAACGAATTACTTTACAACATCCTTTTTTGTTTAGTTTGTTGTCCCCCGCACCTCCAATTAGCACGGTTGGCTACGTACGGTGCGACAGAAGTTCAACATACATATTCTTGGGTCTTTCGGTAAAGTCATGTAGATAGGTTCTTTGAACCTTGCCATACATAGCAGGTTTTACCAAAAAGATTTCCAAAATCTTGAACAAACACAAGATCCAGGTTCGATTCAACACAGTACACAAAATCCGTGATTTGATCCCATCTGTGAAGGACGTGATTTCTGACATGCAATACCCTGGTGTCTACAAACTAAGTTGTGTCTGCGGCAGCAGTCACATCGGGGAAACGAAACGGCATGTCTCGGACCGTGTTCGCGAACACAAGGCAGATTTGAAACACGGCAGAACCAATACCTCTGCCGTGGTTGATCACTGCTGTGGGTTCACACGATATTGTTATTTCTGAGACCAAGGTACTCTGCAAACCTTGGGGCTACCATCAGAGATTTGTGCATGAAGCCATCCAGAGATATAAACACAGACACAATTTCAACCGAGAAGATGGGTACAAACTGAGCAATCATTGGAAGGATGTTATTAACCGGTTTAGGTCATAACTGGCTATGATGCCCCCCTTCCTGTCTGCCGATGTTAGCAGCTATTCTCGACTCTCTGAGTCACATTCACGAACACAGCTTCTTTCTCCCCCTGCCACCGATTATCTATTCCCCACCCCCCTCTCTCCCCCCCTGCCGCCGATCTCCCCCTTGTCTCACGCACAGCCCTCTTTCTATACCCCACCCCCCTCTCTCCCCCTGCCGCCGATCTCCCCCTTGTCTCACGCACAGCCCTCTTTCTATACCCCACCCCCCTCTCTCCCCCTGCCGCTGATCCCCCCTTGTCGTACGCGCAGCTCCTTTCTTATCTATACCCCACCCCCTCTCTATCCTCCTGCCTCCTATCTCCCCTTTGTGTCATTCGCAGCAGTCGTTTATGACTCTTAGGGTACGCCCATTTCTACCCTTTAGAAGCAGCCTGCATCAGCAGCTTTCCTCCTACCTTATATAACCTCTTGTTGCAGAAGCTCTTTCTCCCTCGTCAGCATTTCCCCTGCAGTGTTGGTCTCACCTGATGATGGTTGCTTGTGTTGTGATCGAAACGTCGTGGTCTATTATTTTCTACCTACATGACTTTTACCGAAAGAACCAAAGAGTAAGGTTCAAAGAAAATAACAAAAATAACAAAAAAACTACGACGTTTCGATCGCAACACAAACAGTCGTCATCAGGAGATATAATAGTGGGAAAGCTGCTGAGGCAGGCTGTTTTAAAGGTTTGAAATGGGTGTAGCCCAAACGAAGTGGGCGGGGACAGTGATGTTAAAGTGAGAAATTTGCACTTAAATGTCAGGTCGGAGAGCTACCTCCACGACGACAAAGGCGCGGAGGTGGCCATTGTATTGTGAGAGATTAGCATATCAATGTAAGATCGCAGAGCCACAGCCACATCGAGGACACGAGCGACGGTGGCTGTGTTAGTGTGAGACATTTAACCTGTTAATGTAAAATCAGAGTCGAAAATAATGACTAACATCGGAAGATAGAATGGAAACATCACAGCCAGTTATGACTTAAACTGGTTAATAACGTCCTTCCAATGACTGCTCAGTTTGTACCCATCTTCTCGGTTGAAATTGTGTCTGTGGCTATATACAGTAGAACCTCAGAGATCGAACGCCCCAGAACTCGAACAATTTGGTGATCGAACAAAATTTTCGACCATTTTTTGCCCCGGACATCAAACAAAAATTCGGAGGTCGAACACCTTGAAAGAACCTGTATGGGCCGACACACGTAGCCAGGGCGACCGAGACAAAGGCGAATGACCCAGTTTACGCGTAGCTCTCGCCCAGTGCAGACCCGTAAAACATCGTTCTGTTAACTTTTTCGTTAATTTCATTTATATTAGGTAAAGTGAAGTTCAATGTTCATTTATTCTATTAATTATAACTGTGTTTCTTGTTTTTTGTATGCTTTTATGTACTGTACTGTATTTTAATATTGTAAACTTTGTGTAAAAATGGCCCATAATAGGAGCATCCTTGGGTGGGGAACCAATTAATGCCATTTCCATTAATTCTTATGGGGAAAATTGATTGTGTTCGAACAAATCGGTGTTCGAAGACGGTTTTGGAACAAATTAAGTTCGATCTCCGAGGTACCACTGTATATGGATACATACATACACACATACACGTTAAAAGTTAAAGCATTGGAAAACTATGGCCCCCTCATGTAAAAAATGTCAATTGAGGCAGTATAAAATGTAATCTGTCTCTGCTGTGACAATTGGTTCAGAAACACATTCACTAACGAAACATGCTGAACAAAAAAGCAAGGAGGACAGGGACGCAACGACCTATCTCAACGCAGGTGCCCCCCTCCTCCTTTCTCCCGAGTCACTTTTACTGAAATAGCTACAGATGGTTTTAACCCATATACAATAATATGTAGGCTATAACTATATATATATTGTTTTAGTTAGAAGACAGTGTCACGGTGACAGTATTCATAAAAATATGTAAAGGTACAATATTCACAATTAAGTTATCATACGTCTTGCTTTCAGTTTGCAAAAAATCCTGGTGTTCAGTAACAAAGACTAGCAGTAGCACTACTAGATTTCACGCGAGGTATTTTTCGTAAATATGTTTTCATTCGTAACAATGTTTTTTGGCATTTATGGTTAACTAGCGGGAAGTACCCAGCGTTGCCGGGGGGGAAAATATATATTTCGAAACTTGTCTTCTCTTAAAACATAACATATACATACACAAATACGTAGCTATTGTGAAAGCCCAGCATTCCGTTTGTCCATTTGTCCGTCAACAAAATTATAAGAGGCTTGCAAAAGTCCTGAATGAAATAATGGGGGGTAAACAGTTGATCTAAAAGGTTTCCGAAAATTGTCAACCCTTCAAAAAATATTTTACCCCCCCGTAGGCATATATACCTACACACCCTACATACAATAGAGTGAATAGTATCTAGTGACTCTATAGTAGTATCTACTGACTTGACAGTAGTATCTTATGACTATAGTAGTATCTAATGAATCTATTGTAGTATCTATTTACTCTATAGCAGTATCTAGTGACTCTGCAGCAGTATATACTGACTATAGTGGTAGCTACTGACTGTAGTATTTTATACCGACTCTATAGTAGTATCTACTGACTATAGTAGTAACTACTAACTCTCTAGTAGTATCTGTTGACTATAGCAGTAGCTGCTTACTCTATAGCAGTATCTGCTTACTCTATAGCAGTATCTACTGACTCTACAGCAGTATCTACTTACTCTACAGTAGCATCTACTGACTGTAGTAGTATTTACTGACTGTAGTAGTATCTACTAACTCTAGTAGTACCTAGTGACCCTACAGTAGTATCTACTGACTGTAGTAGTATCTACCGACTCTATAATAGTATCCATCTACTCTATAGCAGTGCCTACTAACTCTACAGTAGTATATACTGACTATAGTAGTAGCTACTAACTCTATAGTAGTATGTACTGACTATATAGTCAGAACTCTTTGGTTCTTTCGGTAAAGTCACGTAGAAACAAATAAATTAAATAATAGAATACGACGTTTCGATTGCAACACAAGCAACCGTCATCAGGTAGAACTAAATTTGAGAGACAAAACACAGACACGGAGACACACAGACAGACACACAAGCAGAGAGAGACACACAACATAGACACACAGAGACCCAATGCCTCTGTATCGAGGCCTTAAATAGAGAGAGAGGGGAGGGGGCAGAGAGAGAGAGGTGGGTCTGCTGGGGCAGCTGCTGGAGCAGAGAAATTAGCATGTCAATGAATCCACCCCGAAGTGACCCAGGGAAAGAAGATTGAATGGCCCTATGATAGCCTGGTAAATTTTAGAGAGAGAAATAGTTTGAGAACTAAATTTAGAAAATCTTTTGGAAATGTAATGCAATGCAATACTGAGAGTCGGCTAACACAGAGTTAACGCAAAGCCTGGTTGATTACGATCTCCAAAGATTGCTAAATTTGAAGTTAAGTGTGAAATTTTACAGAGATACACAGAGAGAGAGAAACCAACTTACATCCTCCCTGTAGAGGTGGTTCAAACTTGATTTGAAGCTTTCGTGACTGCAGGAATTACTCTTTGGTTCTTTCGGTGAAGTCACGTAGAAATCAAATAAATAATAGAGTACGACGTTTCGATTGCAACACAAGCAACCATCATCAGGTAGAACTAAATTTGAGAGAGAGACAAGACAGACGCACAAGCAGAGAGAGACACACAACATAGACACACAGAGACCCAATGCCTCTGTGGCATTGGGTCTCTGTGTGTCTATGTTGTGTCTCTCTGCTTCTGTGTCTGTCTGTGTGTTTTCGTGTCTGTGTTTTGTCTCTCTCTCAAATTTAGTTCAAATCAAGTTTATATAGTCATAACTACTAACTTTATAGTTGTATCTAGTGACTCTACAGTATTTTCTACTGACTGCAGTAGTATCTACCAACTCTATAATAGTACATATCGACTCTATAGCAGTAGCTACTAACTCTACAGTAGTATCTACCGACTCTATAATAGTATCTATCGATTTGATAGCAGTATCTACTAACTGTGTAGTAGTATCTACGATCACTACAGTAGTATATTGACTATAGTAGCATCTACTAACTCAATAGTAGTATCTACTATCACTACAGTAGTATATACTGACTATAGTAGTATCTACGATCACTACAGTAGTATAATGACTATAGTAGTATCTACTAACTCTATAGTTGTATCTACCGACTCTATAGCAGTATATACTATCTTCACAGTAGTATCTACCTTCTCTACAGTAGTATCTATTGTAACGGTGTGTCCTTTTGGGACATGCTTTAGCGAGTTTCGGTTTATACCCGCAACCCTAGCTAGCATCACTGTTATATTTAATTATAGTGGGACCCCTATTTCACGCGACGCCCCAAATGACCTTGTGCGGAATATAACCAAGACCACTGCCAAATATATAGGGTTTACTTGGAATTAAATCTCTACACAAATCTTACAATGTCAAAGGGAAACAAGCTTACAATTTCCCAGGAAGAGTGCACACATCACAAGCCACTATACCAACCCAAATGACCCTCGCAACAATACAACAACCAACACCGTCATACAACAAACTGACGACAACGGCTTCACTGACTTCCTCCACCACGAACGCTATGGGGGGGAAATACAGCTGAGCAAAACCCCAAAGGCATGCCCGAAGCATCGCCCGGCTCTGAAACAGAACACTCTCAGTGGATCAGTCCCCTTTGCCCTCGAGCATGACCAGTCTCAGCCACCTCGAGCAGGATCAATCCAAGCCACCTCAAGCCAGATCAGTCCCAGGCACCTCTAGCCAGATCAGACCCAGCCACCTCGAGCAGGATCAGTCTAAGCCACCTCGAGCAGGATCAGTCCCGGCCACCGAGCAGAATCAATCCCGGCCACCTCGAGTGGGATCAGCAAGCCACTTTGAGCAGGATCAGTAGTGGAATAGAATCCCGCCCGCCTCAGTCTCCATCTCCAGCACAGCAGCCGCCTGGAACAAGACAAGGAGCGGAATGACATCCCATACCCCCTTCCCTTGGTTCCCCACGACGAGGCCTTTTGTTCAATCACACCCTTGGGCCCTTCCCCCATTTAATTAGCACGGCGTGCCCACGAGTCCAAACCCCCATGCCCAAGAGTCAATCCAATCCCACACACCAGAGTAGCTCCCCTGGTTGGAGAGATCCACGCACGGAATTACGCTGAGATGTAAAAACTGACCCCCCGTGTATTTGAGGTGCACAATTTGACTTTGTCCAAAAATGATCAAGAAACGCGAGTGGGCCTGGGCAGGCCGTGTCACCATAAGATTGCTACGGATCAGGAATAGCATTGGGAGCGACTGCCAAGTAACAGCCTGGGAATTGGACACTTACCCATAGGGCATCCGCTGGGAAGATGGAGCAATGGTTTGTGTGTGGCGTCGCACGCGGTTCGGGAGGCCTTCACCCCAGCAGTGGATTGATCCTGGTGGATGTTGATTATTAGTTGAGGTTTATAATGTGCTTTACCCAGATACAGTGGTACCTCGGTTAACGATATTAATTGTTTTCACGAAAACCATCATAAAATGAATATGGGAAATACATGTTAAATGATTAATTTGTTCCAAGACGATCGGAAGTTGACCGTTTTAGCCCTAAAAGCATAGTTTATAAAATGCAAACACATAATTTTAATAAATCAACTTTATGATAACATATTAAAGCATTAATATTCATAGCAACATATATAAATAATGAATAAATCGGACATAAAAAGGCACATAATTAGTGCATAAAATAAAAATTCTTACCTTAGGCTAAGAAGATGAATAGGTGAGCTTGGTTTTCAAATATTGATAGCTTTATCAAATATTGAAATATCAAATATTGCAAAGCCAACCAGTTGCTCTCAAAACGCTCATAAAAGGGCATTGCTGATGGCTGAGGTCTGCTGAGTCCACTTAGGAGCGCTCAGATTGGCCGAAATTGGCACCCATGTGATATCGTAAACCTATCGTTAATCGAAAATGCATCGTTAATAGAGACAGTGGGACCCTATGGCAGGCGGATCGTTAGTCAAATTTCGTTAATTGATGGCATTGTAAACCGAGGGATCACTGTACACTCCTGAGAATGGCAGTGCCGTGGTAACATTCGTGCCTCACAGCAAGAAGGTCCTGGGTTCAGGTCTAGAGTTGGGCACCTATCCGTGTGGAGTCTGTCTGTTCTCCCCCTGTACTACAGAGTGAGCAACTTGAGTCTGTATGTTCTCCTCCTGTTATACAGTGAGAGTGAGTGGAGTTTATATGATCTCCCCCTGTTCTACAGAATTAGCGAGTGGGGTCTGTATGGCCTCCGCCCCCTCTTCTGCAGAGTGAGAGTGAGCGAGTGGAATGTGTATGTTCTGTCCCTGTTCTGAAGTGAGAGTGAGTGAAGTCTGTATGTTCTGTCCCCGTTCTGCTGAGTGAGTGGAGTGTGTATGTTCTTTCCCTGTTCTGCAGAGTAACAGTGAGTGGAGTCTGTTCTCTCCCTGTTTTGCATGGGTTTCCTGTGGTTTATTCTCATATCTAAAACAAAAAACAAACATACGATCTAACTTGTATTGTCCAACACATCATAATGGTGAAAAATTACACTGAAAATTACTCAGTTGGGTTCACACAGCAGTGGCAGTAGCAACATTGTATGCTATTACAGAAACTTGGCAGGACTCTCCTGGAAAAAAAGTATTGAGACTCAATTAGGCTTTCCTGGGTACCACCGGGGCTAGGAGATGTTAACTACCTCACCTGCCTGCTGTATATTTTGAGTTTGCCTGTCTCTCTCTCTCCCCGTGGTCCCAGGTCCTCCGGTTTTCTCCTCATTTCCAATCAAAATGCATGAAAAGTATTTGGCTGCTATACATTTCCACGTGATAAGCCATTTAGTTGAGCTATAATTTGTGATAGCCAGGTTGCTTCTGAAAAAGAGCTATATGGCTGAGTGGGCCCTTACCTGATAAAGTGTTTAAACAAGCGTAATAATATGAAAAATTTGTTGAATGCTGTGCGATAGGTACAAAGATGGCCCTGAAGTTTCTGAAGAAGAAATCGACCAAGTTAAAAGCTTTCCTACGGGAATACAGCATCACCAACTACCTCTCGACGAACCCTTTCATCATCAACATCTTTAATGTGACCATGGAGACGGAGGATGCGTACATCTTTGCGCAAGAGTACGCTCCAGCAGGAGACCTCTTCGACATCATCCCGCCGCAGGTGAGGGAGGTGGCCCAGTATAATGGCCATTAACCCACCATTAACCCAGCATCAAAGTTGGTAACGGATACGAGTTGACACAATCCTTGAATTGAGTGAGGTTATTTATTTATTTATTGTTACACACACACATATATATAACAGCTTAGGAAGAGAAATGGTGGGAGAAGGGGATTTCAAAGTGGAGCGGTGTGAGAAAGCAGATAGAGAAGTGATGTGACCTGCAATGTGGTGGGTGGGTGAAGTGAGTTAGCGAGTGAGTATCTGAGTAGCTGGGTGAGTGAATGAGTGGGTGAGTTGTGACCTGCAGTGTGGTGGTTGAGTGAGTAGGTGATGAATGAGTGGGTGAGTGAGTTGTTGTGACCTGCAGTGTGATGGTTGAGTGAGTGGGTGAGTGTGGTCTTGTGACCTGCAGTGTGGAGGGTGACCACAATGGGGATGAAACAGTCTGAATCCTCAACATGGGTAAAGGAATACATGGATACAGATTTCAGGAAAAATAACCATGATAGCTGTAGCAGAGCGACGAGGAGTCAACTGATTGCCCGTGACTTGAGTGATTTAGATACTTGATTATCGATTTATGAAATGTATTTTATCACGCTTGAAAACGACAGCTACAGTGAGGGGAAAAAAGTATTTGATCCCCTGCTGATTGTGTACGGTTTGCCCACTAACAAAGAAATTATCAGTCTATAATTTTAATGGTAGGTTTATTTGAACAGTGAGAGACAGAATAACAACAAAAAAATCCAGAAAAAACGCATGTCAAAAATGTTATAAATTGATTAGCATTTTAATGAGGGAAATAAGTATTTGACCCCTCTGCAAAACATGATTTAGTACTTGGTGGCAAAACCCTTGTTGGCAATCACAAAGGTCAGACGTTTCTTGTAGTTGGCCACCAGGTTTGCACACATCTCAGGAGGGATTTTGTCCCACTCCTCTTTGCAGATCTTCGCCAAGTCATTAAGGTTTCGAGGCTGACGTTTGGCAACTCGAACCTTCAGCTCCCTCCACAGATTTTCTATGGGATTAAGGTCTGGAGACTGGCTAGGCCACTCCAGGACCTTAATGTGCTTCTTCTTGAGCTACTCCTTTTTTGCCTTGGCCGCGTGTTTTGGGTCATTGTCATGCTGGAATACTCATCCACGACCCATTTTCAATGCCCTGGCTGAAGGAAGGAGGTTCTCACCCAAAATTTGACGGTACATGGCCCCATCCATCGTCCCTTTGGTGCGGTGAAGTTGTCCTGTCCCCTTAGCAGAAAAACACCCCCAAAGCATAATATTTCCACCTCCATGTTTGACGGTGGGGATGGTGTTCTTGGGGTCATAGGCAGCATTCCTCCTCCCCAAACACGGCGAGTTGAGGAATAGGTTTTACCCTTTTAACTGGCACAAAAACTGACACCTTTATTCAAGGCATCATGTTTGCAATGACCACAACACAAGCAGTCAAAATGCAAACAAAAAAGACAACTCTGATAATAATATGCACTGTCCTTGAATTTGATTGGTCCACACCCGAGACAGCTTTTCTTAGAGCCTAGTCTCCATTGGTGTTGGACCAGAAGACGCCAAAAGGCGTACAACTCAAAAACAGCGCACTATCAGAGTATTGAGGGCTCGGGGTGAGCATTAACATTATGAGACCTCCTTTGCCAGAAACAAGATATAGGAATAGGTTTTACCCTTTTAACTGGCACAAAAACTGACACCTTTATTCAAGGCATCATGTTTGCAATGACCACAACACAAGCAGTCAAAATGCAAACAAAAAAGACAACTCTGATAATAATATGCACTGTCCTAAACGGCGAGTTGAGTTGATGCCAAAGAGCTCCATTTTGGTCTCATCTGACCATAACACTTTCACCCAGTTGTCCTCTGAATCATTCAGATGTTCATTGGCAAACTTCAGACGGGCATGTATATGTGCTTTCTTGAGAGAGTTTGGAATCTGATTGATTGATTGCTTCTGTGAACAGATGTCTTTTATACAGGTAACAAGCTGAGATTAGGAGCACTCCCTTTAAGAGTGTGCTCCTAATCTCAGCTCGTTACCTGTATAAAAGACACCTGGGAGCAGAAATCTTTTTGATTGAGAGGGGGTCAAATATTTATTTCCCTCATTAAAATGCAAATCAATTTTTTACATGCGTTTTTCTGGATTTTCTTGTTGTTATTCTGTCTCTCACTGTTCAAATAAACTTACCGTTAAAATTATAGACTGATCATTTCTTTGTCAGTTGGCAAATGTACAAAATCAATAGGGGATCAAATACTTTTTTCCTCACTGTATATATCTAATGCTGTGTAGATTGTGGGGTTGTTGAAACAACGGATGCTAAACTGGTAACCACTTTCAGAATTGGTTACCCGTTCCAAAAGTCAGAAATCAGTGACCGTTTCACCAATGGAAAGTCCAAAATGACTGCACCTTCATCTCTCCGATACAAGGGCCTGGCGCAGCCCTACAATTGCTCACTCAATGTGACCGCTAGTGGAAGAGACTCCACCAGAGGAAGCGAGTGACCAAACGTTTTAGAAGTACGCACACTACACCTTCCACATGCAACCTACCAATTGATTGTGGTGAACCCACGTAGACCGGTTGGGAGAGAGGCACTTAAGAGGACGATGGGGACGATTCGTGAAACTTACGTGACACCTCCGGCATGTATTGTGATGGGGTACTGCAAGATCCAACCATGTCCATCCAGTGCTCACCGAGCTTGATTGGCTTCCAGTTGCTGAGTGAATACATTATAAGGTCGTGCTCATTACACACAAAGTGCTTGCCAATACTAAACCACAACTACCTTGCTTTTCTCGTCAAGGGGCATAAACCATCACACAAACTTTGGTCATCCTCACACTAGCGGCTCTTTGGCTAACCATCAAAGACGGTCACCGCATTGTGCGCTTTCAGTTGTACGTCTGCAGCCATCTGGAACGCTCTTCCTTCCGATATTAGGAAGCCACTGGTGCTATGCACTTTTGAATCGGCTAGATTGAAAACGAATTTTCCCCCGCACCTCCGATTAGCACCATTGGGATACGTACGGTGCGAAAGAAGTTTAACATCACACAAAGATTCCCCGTATAGTCTTTAACAGACTGTAACGGCAAATGCCGTTAGCAAGCACCTATGAAGACCGGCATGGCATAAGAGGGGGTGGGTGGGCAGCACCACGCCCATTCACCTTTGTCTCCCCAGTGGCAATGTTTACAGACCAAACCAGGTACTTATTTGAGGCTGAGTTGACCAATGGGAGGCCGAGATCCAGTTCAGATAATCGTCACTTTCCCGTAAGCGGGAATGGAACTTGGGCCGCTGGGTTTGTAGCACAGCACACTAATCGCTACCGCTCTCCCCACATGTTGTGTTTAGTTTGTAATCCTTCCCCCCCATACCTCCGATTAGCACGGTTAGGCTACATATGTACGGTGCGAAAAAAGTTAATCAACACACGTACACACACGTATACACGCACTACAAACTATTGCCCCCGCTGCGCCAGCTGCCTGCCGTCCACCCGCTGAGCGACCCGCTCCTTGCCGTCCCCCCGCAGGTGGGGCTGCCCGAAGGCACTGTGAAACGCTGCATCCAGCAAGTTGGCCTGGCGCTCGACTTCCTGCACGGCAGGGGGCTGGTGCACCGCGACGTCAAACCCGAGAACGTCCTCCTCTTCGACAGGGAGTGCCGGCGCGTCAAGCTTTCGGACTTCGGCATGACGCGGCGGGCGGGCGCCCGGGTGAAGCGCGTGAGCGGCACCATTCCCTACACGGCGCCCGAGCTGTGTGACGGGGCGCGCTCCGACGGCTTCTGTGTGCGGCCCAGCATCGACGTGTGGGCCTTTGCCGTGCTGCTCTTTTGCATGCTCACCGGCAACTTCCCCTGGGAGACGGCGACACCCGGCGACCCCTTCTATGGCGAGTTCCTCTCCTGGCAGCGCCGCAAGGCTGCCGCCACGGCCGCCACCGGCACCGGCACGGCCTCCTCCGGCGCCGTCCCCTCGCAGTGGCGCCGCTTCTCGCCCGATGCGTTGCGCCTCTTCCGTAGGCTGCTGGCCACGGACCCCTGCCGGCGCTGCGCCGTCGCTGAACTCTTCCGCTACGTGCAGCGAGACTGGATGCTGGCGGGGGCTGCCAACGGCAACGGGGATGGGGGGAGGCGGTCAGACGGGTGGCCTCGCGACGGCGGTGGCATCACGGGGGAAGAGGAGGAGGAAGCGGACCGCCTGGCCTCGCTCGTGCAGCAGCACCGCATCTCATCACTGGACAGCCCCACGGGCAGCCACCGCCGCCTGCTCCTCCTCGGCCACTTCTCGTCCACGGACAGCCCGGGCTCCGTGTCGGCATTGGCTGCTGCAGCAGCTCACCGGCTTAGCCACTTCTCGTCACTTGACAGCCCCACCACCGCCACCACGGCCCATACCGGCGGTGGTGGCGGCGGCGCACGTGGCCGCCACTTCTCCCCGGGCGACGGCCCCCTCCCGGCGGCAGCAACAAGTGCCGACCGTCTGCGCCACTTCTCATCGCTCGATAGCCCCCCGCTGTCTGCCGGTGCCGCCGCCACCGCCGCCACCGTGCGCGCCCTGCGCCAGTCGCACTCGCAGTCGCCCCCCGCGGGGAAGAGCGGAGGGGGAGGCGGAGGGGGAGTTGGAGGAGGGGGAGGAGGAGGGGGAGGAGCGCGGGCGGCCAATCGCAGCCACAGCTCGGGCCGCTCGCACATCACGGCGATCGAGATCTGTGTGTGAGCGCCGGTGGCGACGAAGTTGACCCCCCACCGCCTGCCCGTCTGTCCCCGCGAAAACGGAATTTGCGCGTTCAGATCTAGTGAAGCCGCATTGTGTTCTTTTACAGTATCAGGGTTGCGAGGGGTTTTTTTGACGGACATGAGATATGCGAGGGTTTGGCCTGGAAAAGGTGGCTTAAACCTGAGCCACTCGCTTGATTTACCCCACTCATTCAGCAGTTTCACCGCACTCAACAACGATCATTCACCATACCCGTTCGCTACTAAGCGGCTGTGATGTCCCCACAGCATTTAGGGTGCGCCTTGTGCGTGGTTTTACTGACCGAAATGACTTGCAAATGCACCAGCTGTGCTCCCCACTTGTGCCCACTTTGTTGTGTTTTAGCCGCCCGGCGCTCCGCTCGTTGTTGTGAACGTTGCTCCTCCACCCTCTGTTGCCGTTGGAGGGCGACCGCCTCTAACTGCCCAGTCGTGTCCTTCATGGGCCTCCTCCTCCACAGAGGCCGCTCTTAACACCACCAGGACCTGCCATCGGCCCATCCAATCAGCTCCGCATCCTCCTGTACCGCATCAGTCCATCTCATCTTTAGCCTGTGCTATCACCCATCTAGCACCCTCTATCTGGCCAAACAGAAGCTGTTTGGTCATGCGGTAACTGAAACCACATTGGGGCTCTGGAAGTCTTTCCTCAACGTGCCTTGGCAAGGTGATGTTGAATAATCGTTGCCAGGACCTTTCCTGGGATACTGAGGAGGGAGATGCCCCTGATAGTTGCTACAATTAGTGCAGTTCACCTTTTAAAGGGGGTCCTTCCAATCCTGCAGAAACCATCATGTGGTCCAGACGGTTATAATGATGTAATAGAGGTCAGCCTCCATACGAAACTAAAACTAATTTTTATTTTATTTTACGAGGTAAGGCCCACTGAGCGATCAATATAGCTCTTTGTCAGAAGCGACCTGACCACAAATCATAGCTCAACGAAGTGACTTGCAATGTGGAAATTTTTCGCAGCCAAATACTTGTGATGTTGATTCTAAATGTGGAGGAAAAAAACCGGAGGACCAAGAGAAAAATCCAAGCGACCACAGGGAGAGAGCGAGATATACACAAATTCCAAATATACAACAGGCGTCAGGGTTGGGATCGAACCCATGACCTCCTGTATACCAGGCGAGTGCGTTAACATCTCGCCACAATCGCCCACCTCAGCAGCTCGCCTCAGAGGTCATCGTTGCCTGCCACTTTACCTGGTCTTGCACACCCTCGGATGGGACTTCAGCCAGTCAGACAACCAGCCACTCACAGCTCCTCCTGTACCGCATCAGTGCAATATTCGAGGCACAGCTCCCCCAGCCGAGTGAACCCCCCCTTGCCTCCTGTTGTCATCTGAGCTGAGGGGTTTCCCCTCCAAACCAACAACTCACGGAATGCTCAGCAAAACTCTACAGTCCTATTCGTCTGGGTGGTTGGAGATCAGATCAGCCTGACCCACTCACCCAGTCATCCACTCAACTACTAGTTGCCACCTAGTCCAGGAATTACTAACTATATATACTATATTTTTATTTTACCAGGTAAGGCCCACTGAGCTATGTCTTTTTCAGAAGCGACCTGGCCACAAATGAGAGCTCAACGAAGTGGCTTAAGTGGAAATTTATATCAGTAGCCAAATACTCTAAACGCACGTTTCTTAATGTGGAGGAAAAAACCGGAGGACCCAGAGAAAAATCCACGGAGCCACGGGGAGAGAGACATGCAAACTCCAAATATATTGGTGTCAGGGTCAGGATCGAACCCACGAACCTCCTGTATACCAGGCGAGGTAGTTAACATCTCACCACCGTGGCGCCCAATTGATTTGTACCAACGTCTGGTGATGAATCTTATTTCGGGATACCGCCCGGTTATGATCACCGATCTAAGCCAGCAGCAGTTAGTTTTCAGTGTGGTTCCCCGGGACCACGCAGTGGGGTCCGCGACACTCCTCCACGTGCTCCTTGGGGCTGTGATGCAAACGCAGGTTGAGCCGGACAATAATGAAAACTGTTATTGACACCTTTTGTTGTGGACATTAAATCATAATTTCACTTATATTTAATTTTTAAAAATGAAGTTTGGTGAACTACCCTGATTAAGCTCCCCTAGCCCTAATATCTATATGCTGCCCCACCTCTAAAAAAAAAGCTAATACTTGCGTTTAAAAAATATATGTTTCGGTAATTAGAATAGTTTTGTATTACTGGCATTTAGAGAGAGAAGTGAAATGCATTTTTGTCAGCAGGGGTGGTGCTGTGGGCTGTGGGTGGTGTATGTCGGTGGGCCGTTGAAGTGTTTGCAATCAGCTGAGCGGTCCACGAGGCCAAACAAGCATGAGCAACGCCGCTCGAAGCTGACTAGAAAAAGCGTCCTGCTTGGTCTGGGAAGTTTTGGGAGATCCCGGCTCTGGAAAAGAGAGATATCTGTCTATGCGCCGCTGTCACTTAACGGTGGAATTTTTTTTCATTCTGCCACAGACCAATTGATGCAAACCTTGCAATATGTCATTTGCTCTGTAGCTCAGTAAATTATTAATAGGTAAGCGTGTGCGTGGGGGGGGGGGAATTACAGCTTTAGCTGAATGTTGTGCTTGAAGTACTGTGAAAGATCTGTTTCAATAAAAGAGCTTTTCACTGTTAGTACAGTATTTAGCATGTATAGTATATATAGTGTTGTCAATTATACGGTACATATCAGAGATATACATATACGGATAGTCAAAAACACCTTGAAAATGGAATTCTAAATCTTATTGCCAAATGTACCCACATGAAAGAGAGATGCTCCTTCCGTATAAACATCTGGGCAGTTCACTAGCATTGGTTCGAGCAAAGCGCCTGGCTCTGCTGATGCGGCACGACTTTGAAACATGTCTCGCGTTTGCTTGCGTTGAAACCAATTCTGCCGAAATGATGAACTCATAAAAGGCCGTGTGGTTAATGGGATGTGTACAATAAATGGATGTGTTATTTATGTGAAGGGACATCGTATGGGTTACTAAACTGAAAAATAACAAATATCTGAACCTCAATGCGTTTAATACTCATTACATCCCATTTTCAAATGTGGTTGACACATTTGTGTGTACATGTATATAATGTAAACATAGATGTATGTGTGCAATATGTATTCAGAACACCACACACCGACACCTTTCAATTCCTTTGCAGTTTCTATATTTTTTTCCAGAGGGTAGATGGCCACGTGCGAGTGTTGATTGAGTGTAAAGTTGAGACGGTGTGAGTGTGTGAGTGTAAAGTTGAGACTGTGTGTGAGTGTAACGTTGAGACGGTGTGAGTGTAAGGGAGTGGGTGGTGTCGCGATTCGAGCGCTGCGCTACGAAAGCAACGACCCAAGTTCGATTCCCACTGCCAACTATGACAAATAATTTGAACCGGTCATGGGCCACCGCTAGGTTGACTTAGCCTTAAATGAGTACCCGGTACGATGAGTAAACGTCAGCATTGAGGGGGCAGGCGGCCGGGCGTGGTTATCGCCACCCATCCCCGCGTGTGCCGTGCAGTCCTCCATAGGCACTCGCTAACAGCACTTCCTCCAACAGTTTGTTAAAGGCTGTATGGGAGACCTCTGTCTTTGTGCGTGTGTGTCAGTGAACATGTGCCTCTGCTGCAGAATGAATAGATTGCATACTGGCACGGTGGCACCTATACATTTACATTTGGACCACCGCACCACGCATTCATACCCATTACACACACACTCTCGCATATGTATGTACATAGTATTTTATATTCAGGGCTATTATTGGATCTGTGAGATTCCACAAACACTAAAGTGTTTCTTAGTGCAATGTTTTGTCAGGTTTTAGAATAATTATACAGCAACGTAAGATGTGTTCGGGTCGTGTGCTGTGTTAACCATGGTATAGGGCTAATCGTTCTACAGCACAGCAAGTAGGTTGTGTAAATACCATGCGTGCAATAGACCAGGTGTGACGTGTTAAGCACATAAACATTTGGATATTATTTTTTGTACTTGGCTATTACCAAGGGTGCAATCTTGCGGTCTATTGTAGTAGTAGGGTTGTTTTTAATCGGCTTTTCTCGTTAACCAGTAACAAGTTGAAATACGGCTTGCCACGCATACAACAACACAATTGCCCGGACACAAGCGTAGAACGCGCCCACCCGTTTTAAACCGAGCAACGCAGGGAGGCAGCCACACAGCGGGCGTCAGTGCTCAGCGCACGAGTTCTGAGGTCACCGGTTCCGTTCCATCTCCCGGCGCGGCAAACAGACGATGGGGGGGGGGGGTGACTTTCTCAAATCCCCCCCCCCCCACTACCCCCCCGTTCTCCCCATTGCCACAAGGGGTGATCGGCAAGTTGCGGATCTTCAAGCAACCCCTTCGTGACGTTATTTATTAAGGACTACCGTCTCGTATTCCACGTTGCATTGCGGCTCTTGAAATATTTCCTCTCTACCCAGCCAGTGCACACGGGAAGCGAGCTGTCACGGCTCGCCGATCGGCAGGTTTGTCTGCAGTGGGGTAAAGTAAGGATAAGGCCACCTCTTCCGCGACTTCTATTTGGCTTGTTGGGTTGTACATTCCCAATTTCCATTCAGTTGCATTTGTTTCTGAAGCTCCACTTGGAAAAAAACGGTTACCATTTCGTGACTTTTTGAACTGGTGCCTATCTATGCACGTAGCCTGAATCCAGCACTGTGGAGAGCAGCGGATGGGGGGAGGGGGTTTGTGGATCGCACTCCTCTTGTGAAACTCCCTTTCCGTGGGGCGTGGAGGAGGTGCCGTGCCCCTGGCGAGCCAGCAGAAGAGCAAATGAGCTCATCGCCATCTGTGTTCATTTGTACGGGGATAGAGCGACGCCCCCCCCCCCCCCTCTCGAATGCATAGATTTCGACCCACGAGTATAAACACTGGATAACTAAATACATTATCATTGTTATTTTTGAAGCAACCCTACTATTGTGAGTGCTGGCCAGAACCGTCACGATGTGGACCGCTGTTCTAAGTGTTCCGGCCCTGGGTGGTTCGAGCATCCGTCTTCTATGCGCGGGCTTTGTTGCTGAAGTTTTTTCGTTTTGATGTCTCCCTTTCTCTCGGTGGCAGCTGCTGTGCCCACAGGATTGGTGTTGGGTTCCCGTGCCCAAGGGTAGGGTCTCTGTGTTCGTGCCATGCAGCAGTGCCGTGAATCTCTTGTCCATGTATCGCTCGCCGTCGTGTTGATGTTATTGTCGATTTAAAAAAAAACAGTTGCTGAGCCACGGTCCCCGTGAAGTCCTAAAACGGCAGGCGGCCGGCAATAAACGGCACTATTAAAAGTTGTAATAGATAAGGTGGAACTCGTTTCTTGAATTGAGCAAGGTATCGTCGTTGCTGTTATAAGAACTTGGAAGAGAAAGAAAAAAGACGATGGAAATCCCTGAGTGGAGCAGTGACAAGTTGTATGGGAAGAAGTAGGAAGAGGAGTGGTGTGTGACCTGCAGTGTGGTGAGTGGGAGGTTGATGGGGCTACGGTGACCGTAGCGGTTAGCGCGCCGCGCTGCAAAACCCGGCAAGCCCCGAGTTCGATTCAGCTCATGGCTTAAACCGGTGACGATTATCTGAACCGGTCCTGGGCCTCGTCTAGGTCGACTTGGTCTCAAATAAGTACCTGGTTCGATGTGTAAACATCGCCCCCTTGGGGAGATAAAGATGGCCGGGTGTGGCTCTCGCTAACGGCACTTGTCCCAATCTTTTAAGGCTATATCGAGTATCTTTGTTATTTGCTTCCTACAGTGTGGTGATTGAACACACTGGTGGATATGACGAAACGGACTGTGGTCTGGTTGATCCGAGTCCTTCAAACACGGGTAGAGGAATCAATGAGCCAGGTTCACGGCAACAGAAACCACGTTAGCAGGCGACAGACCCACCGGTTAATGAGTTCTAGGTCATCAATTCTCCCACGTGTATTAACACATTAATTGACCGATAACACCTTAACACACGGAGGACCACAGAGCTGGGACAATTGTTAGTGGCGCCGGCTCCTCGTCAATGCGTGGCTGATGCCGCTGGCTTCCCCGCTCCTCGTCTGTGGGGTTTCTTCTCCCTGGCACCTCGGAGTGGACCGAGCGGATATTGGGTGGCGGTAGCAGCGCAGTGGTAAAATCTGACATTGTTATATTTTTATTATATCTAAAAAAAGGGATTGGGAAAGGAAACCCGAACTTCTTTAATGCGCATCTGCAAGTTTGCGTGCGTGAATGAGGCTGGCCTGGGCCTAATGTTAGTCGACTGGTAATAGTTGTAGGTGTCAAACGCGGCCACTGCTGGTCCATGGCGTTGTTCGTGCGTGCGTGAATATCCTCCTCGTCTTCCTCGGAGTGTCGTCTCGTGTCACGCCATCATCACCGCCGCTGTCTCGATGCCTCGTGCAGCACTCTGCGCAGTTGTTTCACGCACTAGCTGCCTGTGAAGCGTAGTGGCTTGTGTTTTGGGGGGGGGGGGGGGGGGGGGGTCTGTTGAGTCAATACCGGTGAGCAATAACGTCACTTGAGCTGGAAAAGTGTTTTCCATTTGTTTCGCAAATTCACTCCCCTCGCCCGAGGGAGAATGCGATGGAACGGGTAAAAATGCCACCTGCAGGAAGCATTCACATTTCCACAAATTACAAGCAGCTGAAAATCAAATGTGTTTTCTTACTTATATTCGTTACAGTGATGCTAATTATTATTTTGTGTTGAACTAGTACCCATATCTAACAAGAGTGGGTCCTTTCCTATAAACGAAGCATCTGTCAGTTCACCATTATTGGTTCAAGCGAGCCTGACTGCTAATAAGACACGACTGAATGTCGGAACTGTTGCAGCGTTTTGCATGAATTGAACCAAACCTGTTGAAATGATGCCCTCCCAGAAGACCCGTGTGGCTGTTGGGATACGTCCAAAAATATACTTGATTTGTTTACGTGAATTGACTGGCGTGTTGAAGGAGGCACGTATCCTCTGCGTGTGAATGTCCATCTCGTTTATGACGGACAAACGCTGCGCCAACGTAGGATATTGTGTCCTGAGTCTGAGATGCGTTCTTCCAACCAAGGCGTCAGCTCGCACTGGGGAGGATCATGGTAACTTTCATTTATTTGGCTGGGGAATCGGTTGTGGTTTTAGGAAAAAAACTTTTGCGATTTTATGTATATACCAATATAAACGTGCCCTTTGCAAATGAAAAAAACCCAACACTCCCGTCACAACATAATTTGTGCAGATCACATAATTTCACTGAACCTGTGTGGAAATTGAAATAATATATATCGAAGCAATATTGTGACATCTTGGGAGAGTCCTGTGCTTATGTGAAAACTAAAATTCAAGTTGTGGCATAAGTGAGAAATAAAAACACTTCGTCAGCTCAAAGAGTGTACGTGCCGTGTGTTCATGTACATGGTGGAGCCAGGGACGCAGCTACCTATATCAATGGGGGGGGGGGGCTATGCAAGATCCGACTGTAGGCCCCCCTCCTTCCTCCCGACTAACTTTTACTGAAATAGCTACGGATGTTTTAACCCGTATACAATAATATGTAGGCTATAACTACCGTATTTCCCATACATATAGCCCGCATATGCATATAACCCACAAAAATAGCGTTTTGTGTAAAACATTTCAGATAGCCCGCACCTCCATATACCCCGCATGCATTAATATCTTTAACGTCGTTACCGCAGCTTAATTCCATCATATTAATATGAAGTTGACATTTGTAATACATTCCACTATCAATTGTTAACATTAAAATCATAACGTGCACAAAGAAAACAAACTAACCGGAAACGAGTGAACTTAAAACAGTAAATAAGTAACAAAAGTAAATATCCAATAAATAAGTAACACATAACTGGTAGATAAGTAAGTACAGTTTCAGCACTGGTAGATTGCGCACTGCGCATACCATAGCGGCACTATGGTGTGGTCCCACCTGATGACGATTGCTTGTGTTGTGATCGAAACGACGTGATCTATTATTTTTCTACTCACAATTAAGTTATCGTGCGTCTTGCTTTCATGTGCATGCCAGTAAACAATCCTGGTGTTCAGTAACAAATACCAGCAGTGGTGCTGCTACATTTCACGCGAGGTATTTTCCGAAGTATATTTTTTATTCGTAACAATGTTTTTTTGGCATTTTTGCTTAATTGTTGGAATATTTTTTCGAATAATTTTCTTAACATTTTTAAAAACATGTTTAATCTCTTGAATCAGGGTCCCCTTGTGGCCGCCTTGGCCCCTATGTGTCGCATAACGCTGCCACATACCCCCCAACCATGCAGCGCCCCTGGGTGGACAACGCGCGAGTTTCAGCTCGGTATTGTGTCATCTTAAGTGACAGTAAACATGCGCGCATGAAAACGACAGTGCAATAAATGTAAGTGGGGTGGGGGGGATATAGACGGCGGCACTCGGTTGCCCGACAACACAAGCAGCGACAACAACGAAAATCCGCAACCCTATGAGCCAATTCTTTATTCAATTTACGCCTCAATTTTCACAATGACGTCTCCTTTTCAAACGCTTTTTTCGCGTGGTCTTGTCCGCTTGAGGCCACCGTAATTATTACCCGGAAGTGATCGTCAGCGCGGAGTCTGAGGACCTTGCAGCGATTGTAAGACGGTAACACTGTACACGACACGAGCACTGTACCATGTACACTAAAGTACACAAGCACCACTCACACTAAAGTACACAAGCACCACGCACACTAAAGTACACAAGTACAATGCACACTAAAGTACACAAGTACCACGTACACTAAAGTACACAAGTACCACGCACACTAAAGTACACAAGTACCACGCACACTAAAGTACACACGTACCACGCACACTAAAGTACACAAGCACCATGCACATTAAAGTACACAAGTACCACGTACACTAAAGTACACAAGCACCATGCACACTAAAGTACACAAGAACCACGCACACTAAAGTACACAAGCACCATGCACACTAAAGTACACAAGTACCACGCACACTAAAGTACACACGTACCACGCACACTAAAGTACACAAGTACCACGTACACTAAAGTACACACGTACCACGCACACTAAAGGACACAAGTACCACGCACACTAAAGGACACAAGTACAATGCACACTAAAGTACACAAGCACCACGTACACTAAAGTACAGAAGTACCACGCACACTAAAGTACACAAGCACCACGCACACTAAAGTAGACAAGTACCACGCACACTAAAGTACACAAGCACCACGCACACTAAAGTACACAAGCACCACGCACACTAAAGTACACAAGCACCATGCACACTAAAGTACACAAGTACCACGTACACTAAAGTACACACGTGCCACGCACACTAAAGTACAGAAGTACCACGCACACTAAAGTACACAAGCACCACGCACACTAAAGTACACTCATACCACGCACACTAAAGTACACAAGCACCATGCACACTAAAGTACACAAGTACCACGCACACTAAAGTACACACGTACCACGCACACTAAAGTACACAAGTACCACGCACACTAAAGTACACAAGCACCATGCACACTAAAGTACCACGCACACTAAAGGACACAAGTACCACGCACACTAAAGTACACAAGTACCACGCACACTAAAGTACACAAGTACCACGTACACTAAAGTACACAAGTACCACGCACACTAAAGTACACAAGTACCACGCACACTAAAGTACAGAAGTACCACGCACACTAAAGTACACACGCACCACGCACACTAAAGGACACAAGTACAATGCACACTAAAGTACACAAGTACCACGCACACTAAAGTACACAAGCACCACGCACACTAAAGTACACAAGCACCATGCACACTAAAGTACACAAGTACCACGTACACTAAAGGACACACGTACCACGCACACTAAAGTACACAAGCACCACGCACACTAAAGTACACAAGTACCACCCACACTAAAGTACACAAGTACCACGCACACTAAAGTACACAAGCACCACGCACACTAAAGGACACAAGTACCACACACACTAAAGGACACAAGTACAATGCACACTAAAGTACACAAGTACCACGCACACTAAAGTACACAAGTACCATGCACACTAAAGTACACAAGCACCACGCACACTAAAGGATACAAGTACCACCCACACTAAAGGACACAAGTACAATGCACACTAAAGTACACAAGTACCACGCACACTAAAGTACACAAGCACCACGCACACTAAAGTACACAAGTACCACGCACACTAAAGTACACAAGTACCACGCACACTAAAGTACACAAGTACCACGCACACTAAAGGACACAAGTACAATGCACACTAAAGGACACAAGTAACATGCACACTGACACCTACTTGAGTACCATGCACACTGATTCCTATGCTTGCATACGGTAATATATTCAGGAGCTTGATGCTCATATCGATGCCTACGAGAGCCATGACGAGAGGGTTTAAGGAGAGAGTTTGTGTCGTGCATGTTTTTATTCCTCCATTGGTGAAATTAGGAACGGTACGTGTGTGAATTTAATAGTGGAAATGAGGTGAATAAAATAGATGAGAGGAAACAATGGGGGCGAATCTGTGATGCGTGAATTACGGTGAAAGCGAAATTGATGACAGTAAATGATGAGAATATTTTGAATTAATGGGGAATGAGTGATAGTGTGAGGACTGACGGCCCCCTCTTCCTCTCCCCCCTCCTCCTCCGCCCCTTCTCGCCGGGCTGCCGCCGATCAAGTGATCGGCCTCCCCGCACCGGCATCCTCTCTGTGGGACATGGCTAGTGGCTGGCTCCCCACCGCCTCGGGTTATCCCACACACTCCTCGCGTACCCTACCCCAAATGTCCGGAGGTGGCTGCGGGCTCGCGCGTGCCTGCTCAGGTTGCTTACCACAGCCCACACTAAAAATATCACTATGAATAGGCACGCGTCCCTCCCCACCTCCCGTTGGGTCGGCTTCAATCCGCCGGGCAAACACGCACGTGGGCACGGGCACGCGGCAAAAACGATGGTCGGGTGGACGATAATATTTGCGCGTTAATCCCGGTATCTCACGGACGCAATGGGAGTTGGAGGGACGAGGGTCCGGGGGGTCTCTGCCTGGGTCGAGTTGTGGCTGCACTCGCCAGCGTCTCGGATGCTCGAGCGGCTGGGAGCGCCCTGCTCTTGCCGCTGGTGTGCGGCCTCCCCCTGTTGGTAGGCCCGGCCACGGGCCCCTCGCAGGGTCCCCATCAGGTGCTCCACGGGCTGGGTCCCTTCCTTCGGTTGCGGCGGGGGAAGGCCGAACAACAGATCTGCTGGTAGGCGAGACTCACGACCGAACATCATTAGGAACGGGGTTTGTCCCGTAGATGTGTGTACCATGGTGGCGTAGGCGAACAGGGCATAGGGGAGGTGTCCATCCCAATCCTGTTGATTGGCGGCCGCCATATGTTAGAGCTTCCCGGCTAAGGTCTGGTTCATACGTTCCACCATACCATTCACCTGGGGGTGGTATGCCGTAGTTCGGTCCTTCTGGATTCTGAACTCCCGGCACAGTGCCTGAAATAGCTCAGCCTCGAACTCACTACCCTGGTCAGTAACGACTCGTTCGGGGATCCCATGTTTAAGCACGTAATGTTCCACAAATGCCCGGGTGACCACAAGGGCTGTTTTGTCGGGGATGGCCACCGCCACTGGATAGCGCATGAAATATTCCACCGCCACGAGGATATACCGGTTGCCTCGGTGGGATCGTGGGAATGGCCCCTGTAGGTCGATCCCAACTAGCTGGTTCGCCCGGCTGACGCGGAACGGCCTCAGGGGCACCTGATACTGCGACGGATTCTGCCCACACTGCTGACAAGCGCGGCAGCCCTGTACCCAGGTGGCCACGTCTTGCGCCAATTTGGGCCAGAGATACTGGCGACGCAGGGTCTCCCGAGTGCGCCATTCCCCATCATGGTCCCCGAGCGGGTGGTTGTGCACCAACCGTAGCAGCTGGGGCCGCACCTGGGCGGGAACACAGATGCACCTCGGCTGCCCGGCTTCAGTTAGTTCCCGCACCACCCCATTATTTACACACAACCGGGCATACAAACCACTCCAGGGTCCTCTCGCAGGGCCGCCTCCACCACCGTCGGGTCTGGGTCCTGCTGCTTCTTGGCCTGTCTCAGCTGCTCATCATCCCGGCCCCAGAACGCACAGCCGATGTCCTCTTGGATCCAACCGGGCGGGGCGGAACGGCCCGTCGGGCCCCGGGGTGTGGGCCCCGTGCCCGCCGGGCAATCCACTGGGTCGCTGGCTCCTTCTGCAGGGACCTCTGTGGCGCACACGGCACTTTCTCTCAGCGGAGGGGGGTTAGTCTCAGGGCGCTCCAGGGGGGCCTGTCGGCAGTGTCCCCCCGTGAAGCATGGGCTAGCCTCCTCCGCTCTCGTCTCGACAAGGCGTCCGCGTTTGCGTGCGTCCACCCAGCCCTGTACTCGATTTGCAGGTTATACTCCTGCAGCTGCGTCAGCCACCGGCCCAACTGCCCCTGCGGTTCCTTGAATGTGAGGAGGAACTACAGAGCATAATGGTCAGTACGCACGCGACATTTCCTGCCGTACAAGTACGGCCGGAACTGCTTACACGCGAAAATTACGGCAAACAGTTCCTGACGGGTCACGCAATAATTTAGGTCGGCCCCACTCAGGGTCCGGCTGGCGTATGCGATGACCCGCTCCATCCCATCCTGCACCTGTGACAACACCGCACCCAGCCCACTGCTGCAGGCGTCGGTGTCCAAAATAAAATCAGTGGGAAAGTCAGGGAAAGCCAGGGTGGAGGTATGGGTGAGGTGCTCCTTGAGGGTGGTGAAGGCCGTCTGGCAGGCCTCCGTCCACTGATAGGGGTTCTTAGGTGAAGTGAGTTGGGTGAGGGGGCGTGCAATCTCGCTGAATTCCTTCACAAATCTATGATAATAAGTGGTTCGCCCCCCAAAAATGACTTGATCTCCGTCAGGTTCCTCGAATGTGGCCATTCCACTACGGCGGGTACTTTTTCTGGGTCGGTGCGCACCCCTGCCTCGCTGACGCGGTGTCCGAGGTACCCAACCTCGCGCTGCGCAATATGACACTTAAGTGGCTTGAGCTTGAGATGGGCTGCTCGCAGTCGTTGGAACACCTCCCGTAACCTGGACCAGTGCTCAGACAGGAACCTACTAAACACTATCACGTCATCCAGGTAAATTAGGCACTGTTCCCATTGCAAGCCCCGCATCACCAACTCCATCAACCGCTGGAATGTCGCTGGCGCGTTAGTGAGTCCGAACGTGAGTACTCGGAACTCGAACAGTCCCATTGGGGTGGTTAATGTGGTCTTTGGCCGATCCTCCTCCACCATCTCCACCTGCCAGTACCCGGACGCTAGATCGAGGGTGGAAAATTCTGCACCCCTGCGAGGCCGTCAAAGGTGTCATCGATGCGGGGGATGGGGAAAGCGTTGCCGAGGGTAACTGCCTTCAACTTTCGATAATCAACGCAAAAGCAGGTCGACCCATCCTTTTTCGTCACCAGTACAACCGGGGCAGACCAGGGGCTTGCTGAGGGCTGGATTATGTTAATGAGCATATCCACGATTGCCGCAGTTACCCTCGTAGCTGATCGGCCTCCGTCTT